AAAAAAAAAAAAAAAAAAAAAGAAATAATACTTGGTTTCTCTCCATGGTAACACCTAACAGAACTATAGTACAAGAGCACAAACAGGATAATGACATTAGTATAGTCAAGATGTAGACAATCTTGTCACTATAAGGATCCCTCCTGTTGGCCTTTTGTAACTATACCCACTTCCCTCCTGCCCTACCTCTGCCCTCTTAACCTATGGCAGCAACTTATCTGTACTCCATTTGTGTAACTTTATAATGTCAAGAATGTTATATGAATGGAATAATATAGTATGTAACCTTTTGGGAATGGTTTTATTCAACCAGTATAATTTGCTGGAGATTTCATTCCAGTGATGTGTTTATCAGTAGTTTATTCCTTTGTATTGCAAAGTAGTACCAGTTGAGTATCCCAAATCTGAAAATCCAAAATGCTGTAAAATCTGAAGCTTTTCAGCACTGACATGACACTCAAAGCAAATGCTTATTGCAGCATTTTAGATTTTGAATTTTCAGATTAGGGATGCTCAACTGGTAAGTATAATGCAAATATTCCCAAATCCAAAACACTCTGGTCCCAAGCATTTTGGATAAATGATATTCAACCTGTATCCCATGATGTGGAGGTGCTGTAGTATGTCAAACCATTCGCCTGTTGAAGGATAGCTGGGTTGTTGCAAGTGTATTTTGAAGGCACCAACACTTAAACCCTGGGACCCTCTGGCCTTTTAGGGTTCAGCTCCTTCCACATTCTGTCATTCTGCTTCAGACCCCACCCCTGTAGCTACACCCTGCCCTTTTGTCGCCATAAGCTGTGCAGATTCTGAGACTCACCCACGGATCATGGCTTCCCTCCTTCCCTTTATCTTCCCTCCTCCCCCAGTCCTGTTCCTCTGTTCTTCTGGTAGACCCCCAAGCCCTCGAGCCCACCCTGCCCTCCCCACTTTCTCCCAGGCTTCATGTTTGTTCTCCTGTGCCCTGAAAACTCAAAATTAGGCCTAGGGGCTTGACCATTGGATTGAGGAGTTCCCGTTTCTTTTTCTTTTGGCCACCTCCCTGTATCCATCTCCCTGCTACTCAGGATCAATCCACTGGTCTACTTTCTTTGCACTTAAAATCACAACTATAGTTAGAAGAGAAGAATTTGAGTGGTTCTAGTATAAAGAAAAGACAAATATTTAAGATGATGTATATTCCAAATATACTGATTTCATCTTTACCAGTTATATGAACGTATTAGATTATTCCATTACCCTGAAAGTATGTACAACTACTCTGCATCAATAAAAAAGAAAGGAAGGAAGGAAAAAGAAAAGAAAAGATAGATTTCCTTGAAAATGTCTACTTTGGGGCAACTTAAATATTAATACTTGATTTTTAATAAGTATGTAAATAAAATATTTACTAATAATTCCAATATGAGTATTACATTTGCTCATGCATTAACTTATTTCAGTAGCTTGGCTCAAATTTGAAATAGTTACTTAAGAAAGAAATATTTGGCTAGGTGCCATGGCTCATGCCTATACTCCCAGTACTTTGAGAGGCCAAGACAGGCGGATCATCTGTGGTCAGGAATTCAAAACCAGCCTGGCCAACATGGTTTTGAATTATCTCTACTAAAAATACAAAAATTAGCTGGGCATGGTGGCCGGTGCCTGTAATCCCAGCTACTCGGGAGGCTGAGGCAGGAGAATCACTCGAACCTGGAAGACGGAGGTTGCAGTGAGCTGCGACCACACCAGGACACTCCAGCCTGGGTGACAGAGCGAGACTCCATCTCAAAAAGAAAAAAGAAAGAAAGAAAAATTTAGTCAGTTCAAAAACAAGTAACAAGCCACCAGAACTGCTGAGCTATACTGGAAACTGCTGAGCTAGCCTTGGGGATTGGGGCCACTAATACTTGGTCTCTAACTTTACCTAGGCCCTCAGTGCTGCTCAGCAAAAACCACTCGGCTGCAGCCAT